GTCCTTGTTTTTGGCTTGAGGCAGGGTTTCTCTCCAGTTTTCACAGAGGAGGTCTTCTTTATAGCGTGATGGCTCTAGCTGGATGGGATGGCAGTGGCTAAACTCAGCAAACCAATGTTTTTGCCACTTCTCAGCACGACTGCATTTCCATGTCCTTGTGAAATCATCATTGGGAACTTGTTCCTGCTTTTGATATGACTGTGTAAACATTTATCGTTTCTTTTATTGTTGTAATTTTAATATGTGTGTCTGAAACAGATGACAGAAACAAATGAGACACTGAGTCTCAGTGGGATTACCTATAAATAATGGTTAAATAAAAATGTCGCGTTTCTGTGGCAATCTTGTTTTTGCAGAGCTGCTAGAGATGAAACAAATCACAGGATGAGGCTAAGATAACAAAATATGTGAACATTAATCCCAGCTTATTATTTTTTGTCTTTTTTCTCTTTTCTGTCACCATGTTGTCTGCAGTAATAGCTACGATGCGTGACCTGAAACGTAAAGATAATCTGGTGAAAGCTGCTGGGGATTTGTACGGCAAAACTCTTTTTGTGGCTGAACTGGACGTCTGCAGTGACGAGTCGATAAAACAGTGTATCGACAGCATCAAAGATCGACACATAGACATCCTCAGTGAGTACAACGAAAGCATCACTATACTTTAGAATGCTAAAATGTCCAAACCTGGTGTTGATCATACCCTTTTCTTCAATTCATCCTTTTTCTCCAAACCAGTAAGTAATGCAGGCATCGGCCTGGTGGGTCCAGTGGAGAGCATCCCTATGGACGAGATGAACAACGTCTTTGAGACCAACTTCTATGGATCAGTTCGCCTGATCAAGGAGGTGATGCCTGACATGAAGAATAGGAGAGCGGGACGCATCATAGTGATGAGCAGTGTGATGGGACTCCAAGGTGAGCAGACGTAGACGTATGAAGGCAGAGGAGGTGTGGCGGGGGAAGTAACACGTCTGTCAGCTTCAGTTTGACGGTTAGGCGGGTGGACGGCAGGCTAATGGAAGTGCGGACATATGAAGAGACTAATGTGTATGACTTCAGAAACAGGTGTGAACAGCCGATCTGTGAGGTTACATGCACGCTTTGTTTTTCACAGGGGTGGCGTTTAACGAGGTATACGCAGCTTCCAAGTTTGCTCTTGAGGGCTTCTGCGAGGGTCTGGCTGCGCAGCTTTTGAGTTTTAATGTCATGTGAGTACAACTGACTATTAAAAAGACAATAATCAGTGGCTGTGAATAAAAGATGAACAAACAAACTTTGAGGTTACCCATTAGTCACTGAATTTCCATTAGTTTGGGAAGCCTCAAGCTGAACGTTTTTTCACCGTCACACTGTTGACATTTTGAAGGCAAAGCATGGGGTGGAACTGATTTAGGAACATTACATTTTAGTGTAGTAATCTGTCAAGGTAGGCCCGCCTGTAGAGAGTATAAAAGATGGATGTAGACTCTGTGACATTATCCAGGGATTTTGGACTCCACAAAATGCAGCAAAAAAATGTATACATATCTCCTAATCAGCGCCAAGTAGTGGACAGATTACTGTCCAAAAACCCAAACTTCTTGGATGGCCTGTACCAAACAGTGAATCATAATATTACTCAGATTATCCATTAAATAAAGCTTCAAAAGGCTCCAACAGCACACACGGTGCAGAAGTTCGGTTTAATGCTCTGAAGTAGTGACCGTCTAGCAGGCTGTAAGTACCTGTGCTGGGATACCTGTCAATCAAAGAGGCCTTGCCCTAATTCCAGCATCAAGCAGGATAAGCTGCAAAAATAAATCCACAAATAACTGCTTCATGTTACTGTTTTGGTTGGTACACTACTACTTTGGTGCAAACTGAAATGTTCAACAAATATTCAACATTATCGTGACATTTTGTGCAAACATTTATGGTCCCAAGAGGATCTGTCTAATAACCTCGAGGCATTTTACAAAAAACAATAAATATTAATGTAATGGCTGAACTAGAGGAACATTTCAGGGATCAACAGGCATGTTAGATGACTTACTCTAAAAAAAACTTACATGGCAATCCACTGTCCAAAAATTTAGTTAGTTGAATTTCAATCTGAAAAAAGGGATTAAACAAAGAACCGATAAAACCAACAGAACAGCATAAAAATGTTTTGGTTTGGGGTTTTTTTCCCCCTCATTTTTCATTCAAAACAGTTTAACTATCCAGTTGTGTCAAACATCCGAGCAAACTTGTGTTTAAAACTGTTAAAGCTCATTTGAATCTATTTAACTAAGCCATGTGGTTTACTTCTTTGTTGTGTGTTTTTTCTCTCCGCAGATTATCAATGCTGGAGCCAGGCCCCGTGCACACAGAATTTGAAGTAAAGATGATTCAGGGCATGAAAGAGAAGGAGTGGCCTAGTGTTGATCCTGACACAGTGAATGACTTCAGGAATTTCTATCTCCCTGGTGCTGTGGATATCTTTGAGATACTGGGACAAACACCTGATCACATTGCCAAAGTAAGTTCAAAACTGTGTCATTATGACTCACTCAGTCTAATCCATCTGACTCCTTCTTGGATTAATCCTTTAAGTCTGACTGCAGATGGTGTCTTCCCATTTGTCTTATCTTTCTTTGTAGCGTACAATGAGCATGATCGAAGCCAGCAATCCATATTTCCACAATCTGACCAACCCGCTGTACTCACCCCTTTTAGCGCTGAAATATGGCGATGAAACTGGACGCCTGTCTCTCCAGGCCTTGTACTGCATGCTATTTACCCTGCGTCCTTTGATGAACGTCAGCATGCCCGTCCTGAAGTGCCTCACCTTTGGGTTCATGAGGAAATGGAGAATTTCACCAAACTAGGCTTGAACAATGTTTTGCGCAACCGTCTGAATAATAACTCAAACACTATGAGTGTCTTTTTTGCTTTTGCAAAAAATGCATTTTGCTAATATGAACAACCCAAAGTTGCAAATCAATCACAAATAAAGAAGACTATAAGAAAGCTAGTCTTACACTAACATTTTCAAAGAGTTTTTTGTCACTTTTCACATTTCATGCTGTTGATATGCAGTCTGCATTGTAGTGAAGAGAAATACACTATACTCCCAAAAGTATTCACTTATCCTCCTTTGCATTTATATCACATTGAGTGACATCACATTCATAATCCATAGTGTTCAATATGATGCTAGTCCACTCTTTGAAGTTATAACAGCTTCAACTCTTCTGGGGAGGCTTTCCATGAGGTTTAGGAATGTGTTTCTGGGAATTTTGATCATTCTTCCTGAAGCACATTTCTAAGGTCAGACAATGATGTTGGATGAGGAGGCCAGTCAAGGTTTTCTACACCCAACTTCAATGTCTTAATGGACCTTTCTCAGAGATGTTAGAACAGTTCCCAAAATCAGCTGGAAGCATGAAATTATCCAAAATATCTTGGTATGCGGAAGCATTTAGAGTATATTTCACTGGAACTAAGGGGCCGAGCCAAACTCCTGAAAAACAAAGCCACACTATAATCCTCCCTCCACCAAACTTTACACTTGGCACAGTGCAGTCAGACAAATACGGTCCAAACCCACATTTTCACCACTGCATCCAACGCTTTGCATTCTGCATTCTGTCAATGTAAAGCTTGGATGGAAACCCTTTCCATGAAGCTCTCTACATACTGCTCTTGAGCTGATCTGAAGGCCACATGAAGTTTGGAGGTCTGCAGAAAGTTGGCGACCTCCGGACACTATACTCCTCAGCATCCACTTTTACATGGCCTCCCACTTCGTGGCTGAGTTGGTCTGGTTCCCAATCACTTCCACTTTGTTATACTACCGCTAAGAGTTGGCTGTGGAATATTTAGTAGTGAGGAAATTTCACAACCTTATTTGTTGCACAGGTGGCATCATGTCACGGTACCACGCTCGAATTCACTGAGCTCCTGAGAGCGAGCCATTCTTTCACAAATGTTTGTAGAAACGGTCTGCATGCAGGAATTCAAGAATTTGGATCACTGAGTGAATACTTTTGACAATATAGTGTATCTATGTTCTCCTTTATAGGACGTTATGTTTCTGAATATAAAGAAACTGTAGCACAGTTCAGTTTAATTGATGCAGATTTTAAAGGATGTTATCCTATGCAGACTGCTAAACGAGCAGGATTCACACTTACAAGACAACATAGCATTGCTTTACTTCATTGTTTTATCCTCATCAGTCCAAGACACTCTAATTTGTTCAGAGAGAACTCCATCACGTCTGTAGCCTGATCTGTAGCCTCTGCATCATTGTTTGATTTCTTTTTCTCATCAGTATATTAAAGTAAACATCTTTGGGATTAAACATGGCAATTTATGTCTTTCAAAACTGTGCTAACTGCTTCTCGCAGTCTTCAGAAAACACGGCTCTGTACAAAACCCGTCTATCTTTCCACTAATAAAACTGTAATAGTAATCTATTTTAATAAAGGTTATGCAATAAAATCACCTCGTGTCACCTATTATCATTAAGGATTTTTAATTAATAAATAAATAAAATATTGATTAATTATTAATTAATTAAGTTATTTAAGTCATTCAAAGTTTTTGTTACATTATTTGCATTTTTAGCCCAGTTAAAATACTTTGGCCTCATTTTGATTTTTTTGTAGGCAGCTTGCTAGTTGGGTAATTTTTTTACTGCTAATAATGTTAGACTTTCAAAGAATTTCAGCAGGCTGAAAAAAATTTGTTTGGCAGCAATTTGATGCATTTTATTTTTACTGATATAAGCTAAACATGATTTTGTAAGGTTAACAATTAGCACGGGCGCTGTGGTAGGCTTGTTGTGAGCTAGTTAGTGATGCTACACACTTGTGTTGCTCTCATTGTCAATATGTTTGACAATATTTTTGAGTATCTACAGAGGCCCAGAGTTGCTGATAATATTAAAATTAAATCTGGAAATGTAATGTTGTCTTTTGAGATTTTAGCATAAGACTGACAATAATATCAAACTGAAGATTTAAACAGTTTTATATCCATTGCAGATTGAGAGCTCTGGAGCCTGAAAACTTTAAATAAAATGTTCGACTTATAAACACATCAGCAAAGGTTTCATAGAAGCACAATTTATTATTTTCATTTAACAGCAGGACCCAGAATCTGCTTTGTTATCAATAGCTATAAATACCCTGGAGGGGGGTAATGGGTGAGGGAGATCATCAGGACCAAGCTGGGCCTGGATTCCTGGGTCCAGAGGTTTAGAGCCGCTTTCTCCCCCTCTTTCTTCACCGCTATCCTGTGCCAGATGTTCTGTTGACCAAGTGAGGTAGAAATCATGTCAGAAACATCTTCACCAGCAGCCTCCTCAGAGGAAAATCGTCTTCAGGCGTCCACCATAGATCCCCCACTGATGTTAAACAAAAACAGCACTTTTTGAACACTGTAACAGCGACCTTTGCTTTGTGTAATGTTACAAGTACTTCACATGATCCTCAGATAATGCACAGAGACTCTGAACTTTTACATACTGATGTATGTACAGGACTATTCAGTCCTGTAGAAATTATATCTTTAAAATATTATTCTCTATGGCAAAATGCACTGTAAAAGAATTCCTGATTAAAGTTTTCAGATCAGCATTTAAATACAGAACTTTGACTTTACGCCAGGTTTTATTTAGTGCTGTCAAAAAACTTTATTTCTGCAGCCGACAATCAAAGCTGTCATCAAAATGTTGCACCCCAATTTTAATAGTAAAAAACAAACTTGTGAGAATGATTATCCTTTAAAGACAAATCAGCGTGATGAGGACTACTAATAATTTTAAAAGGAATCGTTGGGGATAACAGGCGGCGGGGTTTATGACCTGGGACTCTCCACCATCTGGTGTTAGAACTGAAGAAGCTCCTGGAGGTCAAACGTCTTCAAGAAACGTAAAGAAGTCCAGCCGCTTTTCTTTCCAAGCTCCTTAGTTTATGACCCACACTGCAACCAGACACGAGGGGGCGGCAGAGACGCTTTGGGTTCACTTACCTACCGCTGATCGACTCATCGGCGCTCTACTGCTCGTGCCTGGCGATGTGAGTCGCGGGAAATTAGAACTAAATCGATAGCTGCCAAATCGACCGTCAAAATAAACTTGTAGCCCGGTGTAGTCGCTGAAGAGCTCACCTTATGAAATAGTATGACCTACAGTAAAAGGCAAGTTGCAAGTTTAATAAAGTATCGGTGTTTATCAATAGCGGTGTAAGCTTCGGCTGTTGGCTGCTAACGTTTATGTTTCGTGTGGGTTTTTCAGTTAAAGAAAAATCACGTTATGGTGAAGTGAGCTAAAGTTTTAAGGGAATCTATATGGCAAAGGTTACGTCTGCCAGCTGTGCTAGCGCCATAGAAGCCGTGTCATGGCTACATTTAAGTCTTAGTCGTGTGTTGCTGTGACCAGAGAGCAGCATGGAGACCACTGTGGGAGATATTCTGCACTGTGAGGAGCAGCTGAGATCTACGCTGCATTCTGATGATAAGGAGAAGGTAACCTGCATTTGTCCTCACACCTGAGCCACATAAAATGCTGCCATGACCCCTGAGATTAATGTTGTTTTTTCTCAGCTTCGTAGGAAGTTGGCTGAATTACAAAGGGAATATCTCAGGACAGCCCAGAGACTGCAGGTGAGTGTCTTTAACTGTGCTATAAAAAGGAAAATGTAAAGAGCATTTTTGTCTCATATATATATATATATATGCATACATCTGCAAACAGCGTGCCGAGCGCTTGGAGGCAGTACAGAGACATGTGAGGAGCAGGATCGCTGAACAAAACCACCTGGAGCAAAGAGACACGGAGGCTGCATCAAATCTCCGTCTCAATCCTTCTTCATTGATACTAAACAGCAGCAGCGACACAGCTCAGGGCTTAACTCGGAGTCAGAGACACACTGAAGGTAACACTTGATCATGGGACATTTGCTTTGTCATATGGATGAGACTACACTGTTATTACTGTCAGAGGCACAGCATGTTTGGCCTGTAATAAAAGCAGAAAGTGAAATTCACAAATCATCTGATTTTTTGCCAGGTCCAGCTGAATCTGACAACTCAAGGAGAAACCAGATGATCAGGTTCTCACTTCCATCTGATGCTTGCCCGCAAACGCCAGATCTCAGCCATGCTGAACCTACAGATTATAGAACAGGTTCTTCCCTGCGCCTCAGGTCACGACGCAGCCGCCTACGCTGGGAAAGTAGGAGCACAGAGAACAATGAAAAGGGACAGGAGCAGGGTGAGGGGATGGAAAGTGCCAAAAGAGCAGGAGAGGAGGAGAAACTCACATCAGATGAAGCAGATGCTGTAAATGAAAGTGAAGAGCTTTTTTCTGGTACAGATTCTGAGTCTCCCTCTCTGCTGCTTACACACTGGAGCACACATGGATACACTGAATCAGGAGATATTCAGGGAAAAGAGATCCCTAGATCCCAAGAACAAAAGGAAAAAGATGCTGAGGAAAAATGTGAAGGGGAGAAAGAACCTGAGTCATTGTTGCTCACAACACAAACTGAAAACAGGGGGCAGGATGGCACACAAAATAAACCGAGAAAAGAAGGGGCGAGAGGAGAGGATGGTGGAAATAGTAGAGGACGGAAGGAAGAGAACATTAGTAAAGACACTGAACAAAATGTAGGGGACAAAACAGAAAGTAAAAAAAGGCGTGATTATAGTGTGGAAGTAAAAGAGGAAAAGAATGAGTTGACTGGAGGTGGGAAAAGTGGGAGCCTTATGGACTCCTGTACATTAGTGGAGGGACTACTTTTCCCAGTGGAATACTACGTTCGAACCACAAGACGAATGACATTTTCACAGAGCCAGCCTGACATGCAGGCTGTAATAGAGTCCCAGCTGAGCAGGGGACGACATCGCAGGAGCCGAGGTCGTGCCAAAGGACAGAACAGGAGCACACAGAGCAGCGACCTTTCACAGCCGCACACTCAGACAGATTTCTTCTCTATAACAACTGCATCTGGGGACCCTAACAAACCATCACAGGCTGTTGCATCTGTGTGTGCATCTGCTGAACACAACCAGAACTCTGGTGAGATTTCAGCTTGTCAGATGGACTCTAGTTTTTCGCCCACGTCTGCTCGTCCAGCACGAGGCCGGAAGAGGAAGAGAGGCACGGGGAGAGGGAGATCTCAGACCGGACGAGCCTCTTTTAGTTTGAACACACATCAGTCACCAAGTGAGCAAATCTCACATGATCCCCAACCTACAGACATTCCAGTCTCTTCCTGTCAGTCTCTCCAAGGAGCTGATGGACCAGAGCCCTGCCCAATCCCAGGAGAAACCGACCCAGCAACAGATGAACCACAGCACGTGCCCACACACATCACTGATCCTCCGCTTACTTCTGGAGATAATAGAGCTTCTTCCAGCTCTGCCTCTGGACATCCAGAGAAGGTCTATGAAATCTTTATGAAGAGGAACAACAAGGCTAACAGATCCCCACACATGAACCAAAGTAAGACTTGTATGAGTTTGAATCAAATAGAGCCCAGCATATATTTCGGGTAATATCAGCTATTTGCTGATAGATCTGTATCTGCATTTATAATGGCTGATAAATTAAAATTTTAAAAAAGACATGAAATAACTTGTTAGGAGGGCACTCTCCAAGGTCCCTGTTTCGAAAGCCACAAATACAACAACCAGCTAATCTGAGCAGAGTCAGCAGTAAATGAATAATCTCTGATTTGTTGTCCCAGTGAAACAAGTGAACTTTTTAACAGCATTATTACATTACCTCAGTAAGGACTCGTAAATAACCACATACAACAAACGTTAGAATAATCTGTTTTTTCATGTGTCTGAAAGAAAGAAATATTGGCTCATATATTGCATGTTTAAATGACAACTGTCTATCATTATTGGTCATATATTTGATGGGCTCTGCTATCAGTCTTTGTCTATGTGTCTGTGCATCATTATAAAAATACCCTGAGACCTATGTTCACTCTATAAAGTGAATAGTGACAAAAGGGTGAGCCCAAGATCTATTTACACCCATTTCTAAAACAACCTTCCTCCTTAAGGTTATGTTCATGTTTATGTGCTTTATCTGACACATATTCCACGCGTTCAGATTATAAAAACATCACAGAAATCGGAGAGACTCATCTCAAAGACTTTTGGATTAATTTGACTGTTGTGGCCAAAGAGACAGCATTAAAAACATTATTTGCGTTGCACATTTTGATACAGCACAATGTTCGGATGCAGTTATGTAGTGGTATAAAGCAATGAGTGCCTCTGCAGTGTAGTGGTTAACACATTTGCCTTACATGCAAAACATCCTTGGTTTAAGAAT